GAGCCAGAGAGGCCATTTGTAGGCAGCAACTCAGAGTCTCGTTGGGATGGGGAGAAAGAGTCGGCTCTGGAGCACTTTCAAAATCCGCGCTCCCAGCTGCTGAGGAAACTTGGTCTGACTTTTCTAGATTTTATGCTTTCCAGTAGAGGAAACCTATGGCATATTAATTACTCCTGTGATTCTAGAACCACGACTGATGGCCTAGTTACTTTCCAGGATGTGGCCATTGACTTTCTCAGGAAGAGTGGGACTGCCTCAAGCCAGCTCAGAAGAACTTGTATGTGGATATGATGCTGGAGAACTATAGAAATGTAGTCTCACTGGTGAACTTCACATCTCCTACTCGGACTTTCATGCATTTGACCTCTCCTTGATGACTGGGGTAGATATGCAATATGAAGAATTTGTTTCATAACAGCCAGGGACCAGCCCTGGTGAGCAGGGTTGAAGCAGAGGCACCACAGAGGATTAAGAAAATGAGATAGAAATAAGAGAAAAGGGCTGGAATCATAGTGGAGTAGGTAAGGCACTTGCCTTGCACATGTTCGATTGAGTTTGATTTCTGGCACCACATAGGGTTCCCTGAGCCTGCCAGGAATGATCCCTGAACACAGAGCCAAGAGTAAGCACCATCAGGTGTGCCCCAAAACAAAAAACATAAAAAGAGAAAAAGCGACCATGTGGAGGGCTGGCTCCACAGCTCCCGGAGAAGACACCAGGTTCCAAAAAGAGCCGAGATCACCAGGAAGTTCCAGATGGGGTAGATGCCGCATCCCACGTCCCCCAGATGGAATCCCGGTGACCAGAAGCCTCTACAAGCATAGCTCAAGTATGCGGGAACTAGGACTTTTCCTCCATATATACAAAGTGATCAATGGGAAGTAAATCACCCAACGTTTCTCCCTGAAAATCAGAGTTAAGCTTGGAGCAGAAAAGTGAACGGACTATGCGTTAATCCAGGCCATCATGTCTACCCGGAGGGGAAAGGGTGTTGCTCCCTTCCGCCCTCCTCCCTCTGGAAAGAAAGATGGCGGCCGCATGGGAGCCTTGTGGACAGCAGGTATGAGTCCGGGGTGTGGGGGCGACTAAAACCTCATGGGAAGGGGGGCGTTCTGGTCCATCCTTCACGCCCTACCAAGGTCACCAGTTGCCTTCCACAAGCGGCTCTCCAGCACGGCCACAGCCCCAGAAGCACAAGGACTTAATGCGGAACCCAGCAGCTTGGAGCAGAAAAGTGAATGGACTATGCGTTAATCCAGGCCATCTTGTCTGCCTGGAGGGGAAAGGGTGTTGCCCCATTCACCCTCTCCTCTCTGGAAAGAAAGTTGGCGGCCGCATGGAGCCTTGTGGAGAGCAGGTATGAGCCGGGGATGTGGGGGCGACTAAAACCTCATGGGAAGGGGGGCGTTCTGGTCCGTCCTTCACGCCCTACCGAGGTCACCAGTTGCCCCCCACCAGCGGCTCTCCAGCATGGCCACGGCCCCAGAAGCACAAGGACTTAAGGCAGAACCCAGCAGCTTGGAGCAGAAAAGTGAACGAACTATGTGTTAATCCAGGCCATCATGTCTGCCTGGAGGGGAAAGGGTGTTGCTCCCTTCCCCTCTCCTCCCTCTGGAAAGAAAGATGGCGGCCACATGGGAGCCTTGTGGAGAGCAGGTATGAGCCGGGGGTGCGGGGGCAAATAACATCTCATGGGAAGGGGAGCGTTCCTGTCCGTCCCTCACGCCCTACTGAGATCACCAGTTGCCCCCAATGAGCGGCTCTCCAGCACGGACACAGCCCCAGAAGCTCAAGGACTTAATGCAGAACCCAGCAGCTTGGAGCAGAAAAGTGAATGGACTATGTCTTAATCCAGGCCATCATGTCTGCCCGGAGGGGAAAGGGTGTTGCCCCATTCGCCCTCTCCTCTCTGGAAAGAAAGATGGCGGTGGGAGCCTTGTGGACAGCAGGTATGAGCTGGAGGTGCGGGGGCAACTAACACCTCATGGGAAGGGGAGCGTTCTGGTCCGTCCTTCACGCCCTACCGAGGTCACCAGTTGCCCCCCACAAGCGGCTCTCTGGCACGGCCACGACTCCAGAGCACAGAAACCAATCTCTTAATTATCTGACTTTCAGTAGAAATACTTCCAGGGTTAATAAGTAAAATAACGGAAATCTAAAACCAACATTTAATTCTTGAACCCAGCTGTAGAAAGCAAATCATTTCACAATGCTTTTTCAGCATGTGTGATTGGGGGGGGGGGGGTGGTAAACTCTAAATAATAGTGGTGCATCTTTTATTGAAACAATGAATCTAATCAAAGCAGATAGAGTGTTAACTAGAATTCATCTGCCTCGCAGGCATTGGGAGGGGTGGAGGGTGGGGTTTTATTGGGGTTCTTCATGGTAAAAAATAAGTATTGGTAAAGGGAAATGTGTTTGATATTTGCATGACTGAGACATAAACCTGAAAGCTTTGTAACTTTTCCCACAGTGATTCAATAAATAAACTATATAAAAAAAAAGAAAAGAAAAAAAGTTGGCTCTACCCCCATGTGGTGAGGCCCCGTGAGCCTCGTCACTGCAGGCCCAAACCTGACTGTTCAGTTGCCTCTGGAGGATGGCGGTCACCAGGCCGCCAGGGAGAACAGGCCAAGGCACAAAACCTATTCCCACATGGAGTGGCCCAGCGCCAGTAACCTACTGCAGGAACAGGACGCATTTCTGCCAAAAGCCTTTGGGTTCCGAGATTTGTTTCTGAGACTCTGGGATCATGGCCATTAAGCAGTTCGATCAGGAACCAGAGAGACCATGCCTCCAATTTTATAGCTGAGCTGGAGGTGGTTTGTGGGTGTGTCTCCCACATACCTAACTTTTGGTCGTTTGCTTTCTTGGTAAACTTTGCCCCAAGTTTTTGGGGCCTGGCCAAAGGCACAGCAGCAATTTTGGGGTATCTGAAAGTCTGACGTTGCCATCAGGCTGCAGGTGCACTCACCTCACAGGTACAGATTGACCTGCTGGCGGCACCATGCCCCCATCCTATAAGTTTTTGATTTTCTTTCTTGCCTGGAATTCATACAAACACATTTTGTGTATATTAACTTTGTTTGTAATCTATTCTCACTATTTGGCAACAATTACTATAGTAATATGGATTGTTAATTCGATTGAAATATATCTTAGAAAAAGGTGTGAAATAAGATATATTATTTGTATATGAAGCCAGACAGACCCAGTTTCTTGGAGAACTTTTTAAAAATTGTCATAGATATAATGACATGAAATCATCATTAAGAGAGGTAATAACCTAATATTGAAGCGACTTTTATTGATTACCGAAAGCAGTGTGGTGTTCTAACTACTTACATTTCAGCTTTCATTTCCTTGTGGTTTGTTCAGTGGCAATGAGCTGTCTAGCTCACTAGCATAGATGACTGCTTTCAGTGACTGATAAAGGTAGTTGTAACAAAAGTCAGCTATTTCACTAGAAGAGGAACAATGCCAATGGGTCAAGTATACTTTTAGGGGAGGCAGGGAATAGAACATGCACACCTGGTGGTGTCAGGGATCACTTCTTACTCTGCTCAGGGATCACTCCTGGTAGACTCAGGGAACCATATAGGCTACAGGGGACCCAGACTAGGTTGAGTGCAAGGCAAGTACCTACACACTGTAGTATCTCTGGTCTATGGGCCAGTTTTCCTATGGATGTAGATTCCCTGTGGATTTGGTTGAGTCTTTATTAGCCTTCTTTGCGGTTCACCTAGCCCTCCCAAAGCTATTCTCATTTTCCTCATTTGTTGTAATTCTGAACACTGTACACTAAAGTCTACTTTACTATCCTTTTTTTCCCCCCAAGAATTCCAATGAAGAGCTCCCAAGAATCTCTGAGTACTCTTCACCTGCAACAGGCACAGAAGAGTAAGAATGTTTCTTTTTCAGCTCTTTTCTTGCAGTCTTCTAATTTGGAAGTTCAACTTCCAGTCCTCTATTTCCACTAGCATTTCAAACTCCACAAGGCAAAAACTGATGTATAACTGATCTCTTGGGATCATAGCTCAAGACATATTGTGAGGTTTTCTTCCCTTCTGTTTTATAATTTATTTATGGACACTACCATATTGCAATGGAATCAAAACATGGGGAATAATTTTGGTTCCTCACACACCTTGCCCAGAACATTCAGTGTATTATTCATTCTACCTAACAAGGGAAAAACTTAACTCATTTTTCTTGGAATTCATTTCCCTCTAAACAAGGGATGCTGCTGAAATGGTAATGGTGAGATTCTCTTTACTCCCTGAATATATATATTCTAATAGTTTTAATGTCTGCTTGAGCAAACTGATGAACAATGGAAGGAGAGTGCTACAGTGCTACAGTTTTAATGTCCTTATATCTTTGAGTCTATAGACCAAAAGACAAAATTTCTGTGGTTTTATTTTTTCCTAACAACATAAACATAAACTCCCAACTCACAATCATCTACTTATTTTGGAGGACAAAAGATATGCTTTGAGCGAACAATAGCAAATGTCAAGGCTTCACTTGTGATTAAGATTAGTACAACTAGGATGGATAGGAGATAGTATAGGGAGAATTATGGCACTTGCCTTGCATGCAGCCAACCTCTGTTAGATTCTTGGCACTGCATATGATCCCCAAAGCTCTGCCAGGGAGTGAACCCTGAAGAAACAGCCCCAAGTACCATCTATGTGACGCCTCCCCCAGGTCTTTCTTTTCCCCCTAACCACCACCCCCCAAAAAATAATGCAGAGGTCAGAGAGAGATTACAATAAGAAGGGAGTTGTCTTGGATGCAGTCAACCAGAGTTTGTCTCCTGGCACCTTATATGGTCTCCAAATACTGACAAGAGTAATTTCAGAGTGCAGAGTCAAGCAAGGTATGTCACCCACCCCTGACCCCCAGCCAAAAAAAAAAAAAGTTTAGTGCAGTCCACTTGTCAAAACAAAACATTTAAATTTTTATCTCAGTTTAACATAAAACAGTTTCAATTTTATTTTTCTCTTTACCTTTTATATTGGACTAAAGATAAACAAAAGCAAGTTCTAATCAATTTTGTAACACAGAGACTAGAAGATGTGAATATTAAGGTGCTTAAAGACATTGATTTTTAAAGTAGTCAACTCATTGAAAGTTACTGCTGTTCAAGTTGGGAAATTGTGTTGTTAGTTGCAAAGGAGACACTGAAATGTTTGTGAGAGATAAATTGTTGGGAAAGCAGTAGAACATTTCCTGCCCATGTGTGCAGTCTTGAGGATGTGTGACAGCCATGACGAATCCAGCACACAGTACCACGGCACCAAAGGAAAGCATGACACAGGACATAATCTTATCTAAGTGTGTCCTTGGTTCCTCCGACAGCTTCAGATAACATGCTGATGGAATGATAAAAATTAGGGGAGTTGCGCAGAGCACACCCTGGTATTTAAAACAAGAAAAGAGATAATGTTACTGGACAAAGCATTCCTGGTATGGCTTTAAAAAGACTTTTTTTGTTGTTGTTTTTCTTTTTGGGTTACATCCAGTGATGCTCAGAAGTTATTCCTGGCTCTACACTCAGGAATTACTCCTGGCAGTGTTTAAGGGATCATATGGGATGCCAGGGATTGAACCCAGGTTGACCGCATGCAAGGCAAATGCTCTACCCGTTGTACTATCACTCTGGCCCCTAAAAAGACATTTTAAAAATATATTTATCATTGCATACATTAGAAGTTTGACAGGTTCAGTCAAATCAAACAAAGAAAAGAAAAATAATTCTACGAAAGGATAAAGAATGAGTTTTGCTGTCTGATGGTGTAATTACAATAGAGAAGAGAAGATATACAAATATATCAAACTGAAGAAAAAATAATCAGGAAAGAGTACAGGAAATAAAAATGATATGAGAAACTTCTGACTATCTTCAAATTTCCCATTTTCAATTTTTTCCATATTTATTTTATATTCTTATTCTCTTTATCTCAAGTTACTGTGTAGCTACTGTGCTGTTCAAATTTGAGAGGTCTATTTGTCATTAGGTGCAAGTCAGTACTTTAGGGAGCTGTATAAGTCAATTCTGTCTTTCATCTTTTACTTGGGCATGTTTGAAAATCAATTCCTGCCTCTATAAGGAAGGAGAACTATAACCCAAGGGCACTTAATGAAATAGCGTTTCAAAATCCTCTTTCAAGCAAAACTGAACACATTAATTACTTTAGAACATTAACAGCAGAACTAAATGACTATGACTCATTCACCACCCCTACATTAGCTTATGGATATGTCCCACCTGAGGGAGAATGTCAGATTAAAAATTATGAGGAGTAAGTAGTATAGTCTATTATAAAAATATCAGGAACTACAGACCTCAAAGGAAAAAGAACTTTCCCCTTAGAAAGCATAATTTTCACTAGAAAGTGTCTCAAAAATATGGTGAAATTTAATACATTTAAGGTGTTATATTTCTAATCATGTTCAATGTTAACATTACAAATTAAATATAGTATATATTGTCAATAAAACATAAAATAGTAATCGAGTGACAAATGATATTTATTGTTGTTGTTTTGAGACAATACCCAGCAATTCTTTTTTTTTATTATAAAATTACAATTTATTCATTTTTTGGGGGGAGAACAATTTTTCTTTTCTTTTTTATTGAATCACTGTGAGGTACAGTTACAAGGCTTTCATGTTTGAGTGTCAGTCAGACAATGATCAAGCACTCATCCCTTCACCAGTGCACATTTTCCACCACCAGGGTCCCCAGTATCCACTCCGTCCCACCCCTCCCCCTACTTCTATGGCAGACAATCTCCCCCATACTCTCTCTACTGTTGGGTATAATGGCTTGCAATATAGATACTGAGAGGCTATCACGTTTTGTCCTTTATCTACTTCCAGCACACATCTCCCATCCGAATGATTCCTCCAACCATCATTGACTTAGTGATTACTTTTCTATTTCAGCTGCCTTCTCCCCCAGCTCATGAGGCAGGCTTCCAACTATGAAGCAATATTCCTGGACCTTGAGTCTACTGTCCTCACCCAGCAATTATTAACTCTTACTCCTGGTTCTGCATTCAGGGATTACTCCTGGAGTCATTTATAGGACCATATAGGATGCCAGAGATTGAACCTAGGTAAAGTACACGCAAACAAAGTGCCTTACCCGCTGTCCTATCTCACCATGCCCCAGTTTTGAAGCTTTCTGACACATTATTTTGTTTTAATTTCCCCTAGGAAAATCACAGAAATTTTATTTTGTTGCTAGATGATATAAAATAACATTACACTTTCATCATTGTTTGTTTGTTTATTTATTTATTTATGGTTTGGGGTCATACCTGGCAGTGCACAGGCATCACTTCTGACAAGTTTGGTGGGGTGGCGGGTGCTATGGATTGAACCTGGCTTGACTGTGTGCAAGGCAAGGGCCTTACAGGTTGTACTATCTCTTTATCCTCAAAACATGTTTAAAAGTGTTTTTTTCAATATCCCCATTTAGGAAAACTGCTCTTTTATATGAAGGAGGATATTGATAGCACAACAGCAGTAAGAGATTTTAGCACTCTTCTATCAGTGCTGTATAGATCAATGCAGCAAAAACTCAATACGAAAATGCTGGTCTGGAGGGAAAATTATGGCTGAGATGGGCCTAGCAGAAATATATCAGGTACTCCATCCCCCAAAAAAGCTGATTACACATTCTCACTGTGCATGGAACATTTTCCAAGATAGATCACATGCTGGTTCATAAAACATATCCCCATAAAGTCAAGAAGATAGAAATCATATCAATAATCCTCTTAGATTATGACGTTTTGAAAATGGAACTTAACAAACAGAAAAGTGTATGTGTGTGTGTCTGTGTGTGTGTGTGTACGTGCGCATGTGGGGGGACACTTTTAAACATAACTAAATAAAAACCAAGGATTTTCTGAGTGAAAGTGCAAACCATTATGATTATACTCAAAAAAAGGAAGGAAAGAAAGAAGGAAGGATGGAAGAAAAAAAGAAAGAGAGAGAGAAAGAAAGAGAGAGAAAGAAAGAAAGAAAGAGAAAGAAAGAAAGAAAGAAAGAAAGAAGGAGGGAGGGAGGGAGGGAGGGAGGGAGGGAGGGAGGGAAAGGAAGAAGAAAAAGAAGGAAGAAACTTAGTAAGAGAGCAACAAATGACCAAAGAGTTGGTCCACAGAATAGAGCTTACCTGGGGGAGAAATCATGATGCCTGAAACTGACAATGATTTTCTGTTATGGAAAATACTTTAGAGTTTAAGTTTGTGTCTAAAAATAATTGTTGCACTTTGATTCCTGATATACAATTTATGAAAAACAATTTAAAAGTATCAAAATATAAATGCATATGCACATGTATACAATGTATACATATGTAAAGGAGGAAGAGGGGAGAGGAAGGCAGAGGAAGGGGAGAATACAAAGGGGTGGGAGGGAGTAGAGGAGAAAACGGGATTTTTTTTTATAGGAACAAATAAATGAAGTCATGTGGAACCTCAGAGTGTGAAAGTGCTAGTAAGGATGAAAACTGCCACCAGCTGCTACTAAGAAGCTGTCATCAGTCAGCATTTGGGACTTTTCCAAACCTAACTGGCTGGGCAGTGCAAAGCAATAGGTGTTCTGTTTATGTTATAATTCTTACAGTTGAGAACGTAGCAATTAGTGAGAAAACTATAGAGCTGATGTTTGTACTGGAAGAAGTCCAGTTGGGTATCTTACCTAAATAGCTCTTACTTTCTTAATATTTGAAAGCTCAGTCTTGCTAGAAGTAAGTAAAGATCATTAGCAAAATGATAGTGAATTTCCATCTGCTCTATTCCCTATAAATTAGTTGAGCTTATTTGATTCATATAAACTTGTTTGAGACTATGCCACTGGCTCTGGAATAATTTTTAAATTTGTTTGACAGAATATCAATCCCACAACTGTTTATTACAGAGACAATAAAATTAGCCTTATTTATAAAAGCAGAACAACACAATCCTTAGATAATAACATGGATGCCTGGGTATTTTCCATATTGCTGTTGGGAAATAACAGAAGGTGCTGAAGAAGTTTTCTGGGAATACAGGTTGGAAAAGGACCTGAATTTCTGCACCTTAACAGATGCCTTTTAAATGACAGGAGGATATTTAAAACTGGAGGGAAGAAGGCAAATATGTCTTAAGTTTTTATTTTGTAATGAATTTAGACTTATGAAATATACAAAAATCTCTCTAGCTCAGGTCTTAGGCTAGTTGACTTGTGACTTTTCATCCTGATGACTATGTCTCTATGGGGCTCTCATGGGTATATGGCTTGGTTTTTTCCCCTTCTACTATAAGCTGCACACAATGATTGCTGGGTTGGTTACTTTGGCCACAAGCCCCAGCTGCTTGGTCTTTTTTTTTTTTCTTCCCTTTCTTTCTGTTCAGCTTCAAGTAAAAACCCACAGGGCCCAATTATTGCAGATGCTTCTTCTCTCGAACAGCAACATCACTGCCAAGTTGCTGGATTCTTATTACCCATGACAGAGCTTATATTTATTTTATTTGCTTTTAAAGGGAATCTTTAAAAATTGAGAGTACATTTAATTTGGAAAAATGCATTATTGTTTTTATTGCCCTGAAAAATAATGAAATAAGGAGGAATTTCAAAATAGGGCATTTTATTGAATAATATTACCCCAAGGGTTTTTTTCTATATTATTTTAGCTATACTTAGTGACATTTCTTTAATTTTGCAAACTGAAACATGATTCTACTATACCTCTCATCTGGGAAGATTGCTATTTTGTAATAATTTAGAACTAACAATAAACATAATTAATGATTTACTTTAATGATCAGTCATGATAAAACTGTAAGCTAAAGTTATTACTTTAGATTAACAATGTTTTATTTCATTTTATCTCATATCTTGGTATTTATTATGCCAAATTAGACTTAATTGCTTGAATCTAATAATATTAATCTCACTTCCAGATAAACTCAATACATATATTTGTAATTCAAAAATCAATAAAGAAAATAAACATGATTATTTTACATCAAGTCTTATGTTAAGAACTCTCAAGTAGCATAAATATTAAAATGTGGCCTTTTGATTTCAAAAGTTTGTCTTCAAATCTGCCATTTAAAATTAACATGACTGCAGGCTGTTAAACATTCTGTGCATTAGCTTCTTCATCTATAAAATTAATTCAGATAATAAGAAAGATAATATATGAAAAATACTTGGCACAAGTAAATATACATGTTAGCTCACATTGTCATTCTGGAGTGGAACACAACATGCTTTAGTCACTTTTAATATGTTGCATGACCCAGCCTGCACTAGTTGCTGGCAGGAATGATGCTTGATCTAGTTCTATTAGACATGATAAATGCCCACACAAAAGGGAGTTAAGTAAAGACCAGAATATATTATTGTGCATATGAAAA